CCCTCTAGACACACTGTGGTACAATGGGCCTATGTATGGCTTGCAAACTAAGAATGGTCTTTACATATTTAAATGATAGAGATAAAAATCAAAGGAATAGTGTTTTGTGATGTGAAAATCATAATGTTCAAAACAAAATGTTACGTGGCTCCAGCTGTGCTTTTCGTTCATATATTTTCTATGGTTCAGTTGAATAGCCACAAAGGGGACCAGATGGTCCATAGAGATTGAATTATTTCCCTTTTAATCCTTAACTGGGTAAGTTTGTTGATCCTGGTGTGGATTAAATAGTCCTCATAAGAATTATTTAGAATCTTTTTTCATTTGCAAGAATTGTTAAGGTTTTGGTGGTTTTGTTGTTGTTGTTTTGAAAGTCAGAGTTAGAGTAGGAGTGGGGGTAGGCATTAATCTTTCCTGGTTCACTTCCCAAATGGCCTTAGGAAGTTCAGGGTTGGGCCCAACCAAAGACAGGAGCCAGGAGCTCATTCCACATCTCCCACATGGATGCAGAGACCCAAGCGTTCGGGCCACTTTCTGCTGTTTTCCCTGGCAAATTAGCAGGGAGTCAAATTGGAAATGGAGTAGCCAGGATTTGAGCTTGTGACCATGTGGAATGCTAGTGTCACAGGCAGCCACTTTATCCATCACTCCACAGTTCCAACCCCTATTTGCAACTTTCACTTGTAGTTTTTACCCTATGATGATAATATGGTGTGGATCTTTTTTTTTTTTTAAGATTTATTTTTATTATTTTTTTATTGGAAAGGTAGATATACAGAGAGGAGAGACAGAGAGGAAGATCCTCCGTCTGATGAGTCACTCCCCAAGTGAGCGCAATGGCTGATGCTATGCCGATCCGAAGCCAGGAGCCTCTTCCGGGTCTCCCACGCGGGTGCAGGGTCCCAAAGCCCTGGGCCGTCCCCGACTGCTTTCCCAGGCCACAGGCAGGGAGCTGGATGGGAAGCAGGGCTGCCAGGATAGAACCAGCGCCCATATGGGATCCTGGGCGTGCAAGGCGAGGACCTTAACCATTTGTGCCACCGCGCTGGGCCCATGGTGTAGATCTTGAAAAATATCTGATTAGTGGTTTTTTGTTTTGTTTTTATGTAAAATGGTGTTTACATTTGCCTTACAGAAATAGGAACTGAACACATTTATCTTTGACTATCTGTACAGCAGTAGTTTTGTAAAATTAAGCACTAAATAAAGGTCAATAAATTGTAGGTAAACAATGCAGGGGCAGAGGCCTGTGTCTTAATTTTTTTTATCTACCTGTTTATGTTTTTCCTTCTTATGCTGTGCATTCTAGTCCATAGTTGTTAAGTAACATTTGAAATTTGTGATACCACCAGCCATAGGTTGTGCTTTGCATCTTGCTTATTGACCAAACGTTGGAGATTTGTCATTCTTTTTGTTTTGTTTATTTATTTGAAGAGACAGACAGATACAGGAAGGTGAAAGAGAGGAAAGTATACCATTCATTCATGTGTTCATTCTTCAAGTATTCACATTGGCTAAGGCTGGGACAATGCACTCCCAGGACTCAAAAGTGAGTGACAAGGCCTCCAACTAATTAGGCTTTCACGAGTGCCCCCAGGGGTCTGCATTAGCAGGATGCTGGAGCCTATAGCCAGAGTTGGGTATTGAATTCTGACTCTTCAGTGTGGGAATCTGGAATCTTCATCTGGTGTGTTAATTACTGGACCAATTACCCATCCCAGGAGCTATGTCATTGTTTACCCCTCTCCATTTTATTTATTGGAAATCCAGACTGGGGGATGCAGATCTTCCATGTGTTGACTTATTCCTAGAAGTGGCCGCTATGGCCAGAGCTTAAGTAGGCCTAAGTCAGGAGCTTCCTCCTGGGCTCACTTGTGAGTACAGTTACCCAAGCACTTGTGCTCATCTTCTACTTTCTTTTTTTTATTTTTTTTAAAAGATTTATTTTTATTATTTTTTATTGGAAAGGCGGATATACAGAGAGGAGAGACAGAGAGGAAGATCTTCCGTCAGATGATTCACTCCCCAAGTGAGCGCAACGGGTCGATACTATGCCAGTCCGAAGCCAGGAGCCTCTTCCGGTCTCCCACGCGGGTGCAGGGTCCCAAAGCTTTGGGCCGTCCCCGACTGCTTTCCCAGGCCACAGGCAGGGAGCTGGAAGGGAAGCGGGGCTGCCGGGACCAGAACCAGCGCCCATATGGGATCCCGGGCGTGCAAGGCGAGGACCTTTAACCACTTGCGCCACCGCGCCGGGCCGATCTTCTACTTTCTTAGATGCTTTAGCAGGAAGCTAGATTAGATTGTAATTGGAGTAGGTTGACCCTGGCAAAATGGCTCAATTGACTAATCCTTTCCTTTAAAATACTGGATGTTATCCCAGCTGCTCCACTTCCTATCCAGTTCCCTGCTTGTGGGGAAAGCAGCAGAGGATGGACCAAATTCGTGGGACCCTGCAACCACGTGGAGACCTGGGAAAAGCTCCTGGTTCCTGGCTTCGGATCAGCTCAGTTCTAGCTATCACAACTACTTGGGGAGTGAACCAGTGGATAGAAGCTCTTTCGCTCTGTGTCTCCTCTGTAAATATGTTTTATTCAATAAAATTAAATAAATCTTTTAAAAAAAGAAAGAAATACAGTAGTCGGAACACAAACTGGTGCCCATGTGGGGCCTGGCATCTCATGCCATGGTATTACATACTGCACCACAGCACCAGCTCCCTCTCTTTGATGTTAATGATGAGCTTCTCCACACACATTATTAGCCTTTGGCCTAGTCCGTCAGCATCTTCTGAGGTCCTGGTCTATAGCAGCACACACAGCAGTTGCTTCACTCTTGTCAAAAGCTAGTGTGTGGCTAGTTGTTGGTATTTCTCTCTTTAAAAAATTTTTTGATTTATTTACATATTATAATATTAACTTCTTAAATGTATTTCATTCAGTGGAATTACTAGCATATTTTAAAGGATTGTACAGCTATTACCATTATTTCATCACATTTCTGTCCTATCAGAAAGAAATCCCTACTCATTATGGCTCTCTTCATTCCTCCATTCCCTGGCTCCCTGCCAGTGTTTGTTTGTTTAAGATTTATTATTTTTTATTGCAAAGTCAGACACAGAGAGAAGGACAGGAAGATCTTTCATCTATCTGCTGGTTCACCCCGAAGTGGCCACAGCAGCCAGAGCTGAGCTGATCCAAAGCCAGGAGCCAGGAACCTTCTCCTAGTCTGCCATGCGAGCACAGGGTCTCAAGGCTTTGAGCTGTCCTCTATTGCTTTCCCAGGCTACAAGCAGCGAGCTGGATGGGAAGCATGGCTGCTGGGATTAGAACTGGTGCCCATATGGGATTCTGCCACATGCAGTCACTAGGCCCACTCCCATTCCCCCTCCTCTGGCAGTTTTTAATGCACTTCCTGTGTGTGCATTTCATTGCTTTGCACATTGTGTGTAGATTGAACCAGACAGTCCTTGGCTGTTTTCTTAATCTTGGCATGTTTTCAAGGCTGCTGCAGTATGTGTGATCATTACTTATGTGTGATCATTACTTCTTTTCGTTTTATGATAGCTTAGAATTACCTGAATGAATATTCATTTTGTTTGCCCATTCTTTTGTTTTAGCCATTTGGATTGTTTCTACCTTTTGGTAGTGGTGAATAATACTGCAATGAAATGTTCATGCAAAAATTTCTTACATATGTTTTCACTTTCTTTGTGTAACTACCTATGGTAGAATTGCTTTGTCATCTAACAGTGTTAACATTTGAAGAACTGCCAGCCAGTTTTCTAAAGCCATTGTATTACTTTACACTTGGTCTTTCAGAGTTTTCTACTCACTCACCAATCTTTATTATTATACACCTGTCTTTGTGTATGTGTGTATGTATATATATTTTGTATTTTTTTCTGTTTGCACAATGTAATAGTGGCATTTAGAGGAAGTATTCTGTGAAATACTCCCTGGGAAGCTTTCAAGACCCACAGTTATGGTTCTGGGAATGCTGCTGGCCTTGCAGACTTTTTCTGTACTGCTAGTGATCCCCTGTGATTGGGTTGTACAATCCTGGATTGTTTGCTGGATAGGAAGAACACAGCCACCTGCTGAGGCAGCCCAGATCTTCCTCCTGGGTGGCAATGCTTACTTCAGCTCTCCTACTCATTTCCTTGGCTTTTGTTCTGTCTGCCTGCTACCTATGCTCCAAGATGCCTTGTTCTTAGCACTAGGCTTCATTGTGCCTTTTGTTCATTGGGTTGCAAGATAATGATGAATTCTCAGCATTTCTTATCATTTTTGTTGTCTACCTAATGCCTTTAAGTTCAGTGTTTACTGTTCTTTTATTGCTTAGTAAAACTGACTCACCAAGGTCATGGAACCCAAAACATGCTTCACAGTAATCTCCCCAGTTAGCTTTCTGTGCTCTCTAGTCTGGAAGAACTGCTGAAGTGAGAGAAAGCTTCCTGCATGTCTGTCTTCAGCTTATTGTAATGGCTCTGCTTCTCCACGAATTCTTGTGTAGGGAGAAAAGCCTTAAGCATTTAAGTTAAAAACGTGTTGAAGCTCTCAAATGCCAGCACATAAAATTTGTACTTCTCTTGTAAATAGGAAGACATTGAGTTGAAACGAGGCTTAATTTAAAATATCTGTGAGTATTCTCTGCACTTGTATGTTTTGGGCATAAAACAAGAACTTTTATCCTTACTCTGAAGGATCTTCCAGCCATAATTACTCTCCTGTGGGAAAATGCGTCCCATCAGGGTGTATGAAAATTATGTGAGCTGAAGAGAGAGCCACACAATCATTTCTTGCCTTAAATCCAGTTTCAGGTAATAACATTTTATGTGGTTTTAAGTTGTTTAAGTAGTGTGAATGGAATTGACCTATTTTGTGTAATCGTGTTTCTTTATAAATTTATAGTAACGTGAATACTTAACATATTCATATAAGAACACCAACAGTAATTTTAAAATTACTTTCATTTATTAAAATATTGACTTTCTCTGACAGATATGCCAAGAATTTAACAGCACCTGGGCTTGGGAGATGGAGAAGAAGGGCTATCTTGAAATGAGTGTTGAATGTAAATTAGCACTCTTAAAGGTAATAACTTTGTTGTTCGTTGCAGTTACTATACAATAACAATAGATTCTTTTCTATTTGTGCGACAAAACACTGTTCTTTATGTTATTGGGGTTTGAATTTTTCAACATAAACCTGTGTTTATTATTGAAATAGTAAGGAAATAAATAAGCATTTGACTTTAATTAAATTAGCTTTACTTATGTGTTCTACTTTCCTGAAAATTACTACATACTGTTAACTATGGACACTCTTCCACTGATTTATCAAAAATTGATGATTTAATATTGTTTTCTAGAAAGCTAGAAGAATACTTTGTATACTTTCTAGAACCTTCACTGGACTAAATGTACTTGATTAACGTGAGTCACCTCAGAGTAGGATAATTTTCACCTTTGAATTTTTCTTTATTTTCCTGCCCAGTTCATAATGTTGACCTTAATTAATAGCAAAGTGGCCAGCATAATAAGAGGCAGAAAACAATCTTGGTTTAAAAACAGACACATGAGATTTTTTACTCCTTCTAATGTTTACAGTGTTTAATAAGTACAATTTTACAAGACTGCGATGTTCCTTGATGCCTCTTAAAATAAGATATATGTGCATGTGTTATTATTTTACCTAGATTATTATAAATAGCCAATATTTTGGTGTTACAAATTAGTTGTTCTTGGAACTTACACTTTCCAAGAAAACGATAAGTCACAGTAACTTCATATTTCAAATTGTATTATCATATAGGATCTCTGTGCCAAAAGCAGTTTGTGGTTTCAAAGGTTATGTAAGATGATGATTAGTGTGTCAGAATAAATTGATGAAAATTTATCTCAGTAATTTTAAAATTTTTAACTTTTTGTCATAACATTTAAAAGTATATTTCTATAATATATTCAATTATTTGTAAAGCGATATGCAGGGAATAAGTTGATACATACAACACATACAGAGCACACGTAATTACTGATCATTTGTTACAAATTTCATGCATGTTATAGATGCTAGATCAAAACAGCTTAGTTAGAGTCACTAACTAAGAACAGAGGCAAAAAGACTACGGAGGAGGTTGATGGTAAGGTATAGCAAGTTATGCTGCTACCTGAAGTGCTGGCATTCCATTTGGGTGCCAGTTGAAGTCCTGGATGCTCTGCTTCTGATCAGGCTTCCTACTAAAGTACCTGGAAAAGCAACAGAATATGGCCAACATGCTTGAGTTCCTGCATCCACATGAGAGACCTGAAGAAACTCCTAGCTCCTAGTTTCATTCCAGCAGCCTTAACCATTTGTGGCCGTTTATGGAGTGAGCAAGAGAATTAAAGCTCTCTTGCACTTGCTCTCGCTTTTGTTTTTTTTTAAGATTTATTTATTTTTATTGGAAAGTCAGATATACACAGAGGAGAAGAGACAGAGAGGGAGCTCTTCTGTTCATTGATTCATTCCCCAAGCAGCTGCAGCGGCTGGAGCTGAGCCAATCTGGAGCCAGGAGCCTGGAGCCTCTTCCGTGTCTCCCATGCAGCTGCAGGGTGCCAGGACTTTGGGTAAACCTCGACTGCTTTCCCAGCCACAGGCAGAGAGCTAGATGGGAAGTTGGGCTGCCAGGGTTAACACCAGCACCCACATTGGGCCCACTCTCACTGTCTTAATGTTCCTTTCTCTTGTCTCTGTAACTCTGCATTCAAATAAATTTTTTATCTGCTTGGACAGAGAGCACTGGGAGAAATATGACAATATAAACCTAACTGTGTGCAAAATAAATAAGAAAAAATAAATTCTTCCCTTTTACTTGTCTGAGTTATTTTGTAAGTATGAGAATTTGCTAGCGGCTGTTACGCTGAAATACCTTAAAACTGCATAATCACAGACCGGGTTCAGTCGTGACAAGTGAACCAGTGATGGGATTGATAGTGCCTGTCTCTCTTAGTGGCATATGCTCTCTTGCTCTGATTCTGTGTCAGATAAAGCTCTTTTTAAAAATGGGCCAAAGATCTAAATATATGCTTCTCAAAAGTCAAGGGTATGGTTAACAGGTATATAAAAACTATTTACCATTAGTATTAAGGAAACCAGAGAGAAATTTCTCCTCTTACCTGCTTGGACAACAGTTGTGATGGTAAAGATGAGAAGAAAAGTGGCATACTTGTATGCTCCTGGTGACAGTGTGAGGTAATGTAGACACATGGGAAAGCTAGCACTTCCTCAAAAAATTTAAAAATAGTGCTATCGTTTTTTAATGGTCCTGCTACAAATAACCAAAGGAAGTGGAACTGGCTTGTAAAGAAATATTTACAAAAAAGACGTATCTTTTTCAATTAAATGTTTTTAGACTTCTAATAGCAGAGTTAGAGAGATTGGGTGTGTGTCTGTGTGTGTGTATGTGTGTGTATGTGCTGTGAGAGAGGGAGGAGAGGGATAGAGAATCTTCCATCCTCTTATTCATCCTTCAAATGAATAGCAGTCAAAACTGAGCCATTATCTGCTGCCATCCCTGAAACAATATCAGGAAGCTGTGTTGGAAACAGGGTAGTCACGACTTGAATGACCAATCTGTTATGGGATGTCGGCAATAACAAGTGGAGTTTTAGCCCACTGTATTGTAGCAAAGACCCCAAAATATATATACACGTTTGTGTTCAGTACATTAGTCACAATATCCAAGAGGGATTTGGCCGCAGTCCCAAACACATATGAATGGACATAGGAAATATAGTGTGTCTATACAATGCAACACTGTTCAGCTTTGAAAAGGAAGGAAATGTCGTTTGCCATGTCAGTTGTCAGATATCATGACAGCTTGGATAAACCTGGAAGACATGAATATAACATAATACAAATGAACATGATTTGTTAAATTCATGCCGTGAGGCAGTATCGGAACTTTTTATTGTAAATAAGCTCAGTTCTTCAGAAATTTAGTTAAGTTCATGCATCAGTAGTTATTTCCAACTTATTAGTGCTGTTTATTTTAAAATGTTAAAACTTATCTCTTTAAAAGATTGACTCTTCCTAACAGATTCTGGAGAAGAGGGAAGAAGATAGCGAAGTAGGACAGTTGTATTCTGTTTGCTACCATTCTTGAATCACTTTATAGTTGCGTCATTTTTACCGTGAAGGAAAAATCTTTATGGATTGCTTCACACCATGCCTGATTATTTTTCAGTATCTCTGCGAGTGTCAGTTTGATGACAATCTTAAATTCAAGAACATTATTAATGAGGAGGATGCTGATACTATGCGTCTCCAACCAATTGGACGAGACAAAGATGGCCTAATGTACTGGTACCAGTTGGATCAGGATCACAATGTCAGAATGTACATAGAAGAACAAGATGATCAAGATGGCTCTTCATGGAAATGCATTGTCAGGTATCTTATTTTGGACTCTTTCTGTGTTTGAGTGTTTCTTGCTTTGAATACTTTTCTACAGGAATGTGGTTTGTGAGACAGGGATGCTCCTTTATTGAAAAGCAGATTTACAGAGAGGAGAGGCCGAGAGAAATCTTCCATTTGCTAATTTGCTACACAAATGGCTCTTCCTTCCTCACTCACGCTTTGTGCTTCCAAATCTGCTTGTTTATTGGAAAGGCAGACCAGCTGGGTGGGGGAGGGGTAGAGGAGAGAGAGAGAGAGAGAGAGAGAGAGAGAGAGAGAGAGAGAGAGAGATATCAGTCTTCTGTTCCAGTCCTCGAAATGGCCAAAAGAGCCAGATGGGGTCCAGGCAAAGCCAGTAGTCTGCAACTCCATCATGGTTTCTCACTTGGGGCCATTTTATGCTTTCCTCTGAATCATTTTTGCAGGGACCTGGATCAGCAGGAGAGCAGCTTGGACTTAAAGTGGCATTGCAAATGAAGGGTTAACCCACCATGCCAATGTTCCAGCCTCTAGATTTGTTTTGCTTTTAAAAATATTTTTGTATATGCGAAATGATGTTAGAAGCATAATATATTTTAATAACCATTTTTGCCATTCTACCTTGTATGTTTTTCTTAAATACGTTTTTCTTTAGAGTTTTTTTTTTAACCATTTGTTTGAATGGCAGAGTTGGAAGAAAAACCAGGCAGATTTTCCATCTTTTCATTCACTCTCTAAATTCCTGCAAGAGCTGCTACCAGGCCATGTTAAAACCAAGAGCCAGGGACCCAATGCAGTGGCCTAGCGCATAAAGTCCTCGCATTCAACGCGTCCGGATTCCATATGGGCGCCGGTTCTACTTCCCATCCAGCTCCCTGCTTGTGGCCTGGGAAAGCAGTCAAGGATGGTCCAAAGCCTTGGGACCTGCACCCAAATGGGAGATTTGCAGGAAGCTCCTGGCTCCCAAGTTTGCCCAGTTCTGGCTATTGCAACCACCTGGGGCATAAATAGATGATAGAAGATTTTTCTGTTTCAACTTCTCTCTGTAAATCTGCCTTGACAGTAATAATAAGTAAATCTTTTTTAAAAAGCCAGGAACCAGCAACTGCATCTTGATGTCACCTGTCATCTCTGAGTGTGAGGAACTTTGGAACCATCACTGCTGCCTTGCAAGGTGTGCATTAGCAGGAAGCTGGAGTCTGAAGCTGACTTGGGACTCCAGCCTAAACACCCTGATGTGGAATGCCAGTGTTTAAGCTGCCGTTTCTTACTTGACATGCCTGTTCTTACAACACTTGTAAACTCAACTATATATAAGCTTTGTTTTCTCCATTGAAGAAATATGAACTGAGATATGATTAGTGGATACACATGATGATGAAGTAGAAAGAGCTGGATAGAAGTAAGAATGTTAGCTTTTGTTGAGTTGTGTAGAAATGATTGAGCTGAGGCAGGAAAGACACTGCTTGTTTTTTTTTTTAAAGATTTAATTATTTTTATTTGAAACTCGTATTTTAAAGAAAGAGGAAGAAAGGAAAACAGATGTTCCATCTGCTGGTTCATTCCCCAAATGCCTACAGTGCCTGGAGCTGAGCCATTCCAAAACTAGTTATAGGGACTCATGAATTGGAGCCATCTCTGCTGCTTTCCCAGGCCAGAAGCAGGGAGCTGAAATTGAAATGAAGCAGCTGGGACACATATTGGTACCCATTTGGGATGCTCGTGTTTGCAGACAGAATTTTAGGGTCCTATGTGACAACACTGGCCCTCTCAAACCATTTTATAATTAAATCTTTATGTGAAATGGAACCATCGAGGAGGCATTAAGTCTAGCAAGAAATTGCTGCAGATTCCAGTAAAATGACTTTGCTGATCTGCCCTTGTTAAGCTCCAGGATCACATATGGACACCTGTTTGTGTCCCAGTTTGTCCACTTCCCTTCCAGTTCCCTGCCTGTGGCCTGGGAACACAGTGGAGGATAGTCTGAAGCCTTGGGACCCTTCACCTGCGTGAGAGATGCAGAGAAGGTCCTGACTCCTAGCTTCAGATCAGCTCTGCTCCGGCTGTTGCAGCCACTTGGGGAGTGAATCGGCAGATGTCAGATCTTTATAACTCTCTTCTTGGTAAATGTGCCTTGCCATTAAACATAAAGGGAAAAAAAGTTGCTGTAAAATCTTACATGTAAATAAAACTGTAAGTAAAAGAAGTGGAAGTTTTGGGCCTGGAGCGGAGGCTCACAAGTTATCCTTCCACCTGTAAGTACCAGAATCTATCATATGGAAGCCAGTTCGTGTCCTGTCTTCTCCTTCTTATTCAACTCCCTGCTTATAGCCTAGGAAAGCAGTCCTTTGGCCCCTGGACCCACGTGGGGACTTGGATGAGTCTCCTAACTCCTGGCTGCTGGCTTCAGCTCAACTCAGCTCTGGCCCTTGCTGCTATTTGGGGAGTGAACCAGTGGTTGGAAGATCTCTGTCTCTCCTTCACTGTTAATCTGCCTATCAAATAAAAGTAAAGCAATCTTTTTCTAAAAAAAGTAGAATTTTGTCTTATATGTAATTGATTATGTTGAATTTTTTCTTAATTAGTACTTTTTATTTATTTTTATTTGAAAAACATATCTGAAGAGAGGAAAAACAGAGAGAATGATCCTCCATTTTCTGTTTCACTCCACAAATGGCCACTACAGCCAGAGCTGAGCCAAGCCAGAAGCTTCTTCAGGGTCACCCACGTAGATGCACAATTCCAAGGCTTTGGGCCATCCTCTGTTTTCGCTGGCCAGAAGCATGGGGCTGGGTGGGAAGTGGAGCAGCTGGGAGAGGAACTGGAGCCCATATAGAGTCCTGGTGACAAGTGGAGGATTAGCCAGTTGAGCCATTGTTTCAGGGCCAAATACTACGTTTTGCTAGTGAAATAAAAACTTTCTTTCACACAAATGGATTTCCTTAAACGAAACATTATTTCCTGAGATCACCTGATGCTGGCAACAGCTTTCTATTTACCTCTTCAGGGATGATTATATAGTCAATTATATATTCAATCGAATTCTGTTACTTGGAGGCAGTGTTTTGGCATAGTAGTTTATGTTACCTCCTGCAGTGCTGGTATCCATTCTGTCCCTTGATCTAAGACCCTAAAAGCAATGTAATAAGATAAGATTGTTCCTCCACCCACATAGGTGTCTAGATAAAGTTTCTGGCTATGCGCTTCTGCCCGGCTCAGCTGTGACCATCATGGACATTTAGAGGAATAAAACCCAGTGGGTAGAAGATCAGTCATTCCCTCTATTTGTAATGTACTTCTGCCTTTATAGCAGATAAAATAATTATGTTATTTGAAACCATTAAGCAGGCATCTTTTTTTAATATTTATTTATTTTTATCACAAAATCAGATATACAGAGGAGAGACAGAGAGGAAGCTCTTCCCTCCGATGATTCACTCCCCAGTGACCACAATGGCTGGTGCTGTGCTGATCTGAAGTCAGGAGCCTGGAGCTTCTTCTAGGTCTCCAACATGGGTGCAGGATCCCAAGGCTTTGGATCATCCTTGACTGCTTTCCCGGGCCACAAGCAGGGAGCTGGATGGGAAGTAGAGCTGCCGGGATTAGGACTGGGCCCTAAGTCAGACTTCTTAATGTCATAAATTTAGAAATGTGACACTACAGCATTAAAATACATTGAGATAGGGATACTTTTAAAATAAAGATTCAATGAAAATGGGAAAATTTCACATATTAGGTCTCAAATTTTTTTTAAAAGATTTATTTTCATTACAAAGTCAGATGTACAGAGAGGAGGAGAGACAGAGAGGAAGATTTTCCGTCTGATGATTCAATCCCCAAGTGAGCGCAATTGCTGATGCTATGCTGATCCGAAGCTAGGAGCCAGGAACCTCTTTTCGGGTCTCCCACGCGGGTGCAGGGTCCCAAAGCATTGGGCCATCCTCCACTGACTTCCCAGACCACAAGCAGGGAGCTGGATGGAAAGTGGAGCTGCCGGGATTAGAACCGGCACCCATATTGGATCCTGCCGTGTTCTAGGTGAGGACTTTAGCCGCTAGGCCATGCTGCCGGGCCCTAGATCTCAAATTTTAATACTATAGCATCACCACAATTTTAATAGAATTCTTATGTTTCTGTTTTTGTGCTTCAAAATTAATATAAATATGCATATGAGATAGGAAGAGATAATTCATGAATAGAGAATCACATTTTAAGTAGACAAAAGCTTTAGTGTGTGTTTTAAACAATTAAATAGTTTCATTGATCCATATGAGATGGTCAGATTTTGAATGTTTGACCTATAAAAATGATATCTTTGTATGATTCCACAAAGTATTATAGTAAATTGCAGCAGCAGAAACTTTTACTGTACCACTGGATGTTTCTGGTCGAAGCAATAGTACTATCAGTGAAAATTGGTTATAGTTATTTAACTTTTAATTTAAACTTTAATTAATGATCAGTTTAGAGGTTAAAAAAGAAAGTGTAGACAAATATTTTTGTATGTCTATTCAGGATAACATGTAATAAGTGATAAATGATAGTATTATCCCTAGGCAGTACTTTAACAGGATTCTTTAAGAATTACAAGTAAAGAATTTGAGTGTAGTTAGGGATAATATGGTAAAGAATTTTTATCGGATAGACTTAGATATACTGGACACCATTAAGTATTCATTTGATTATCAGAGAAGGATGCAGGAAATTCTGTGTCTCACACTTAATTGCAGTGGTCAAGAGTCATCCTCCCCTACTTTGCTAGGCACACAAGCAGGAAGCTGGTTTGGAAGTAAGAACCCACATGGGATTCCAGCACTGCATCCAGCTGCCTATCCAGTCATAAGTTCTAATCTTCATAGTAATGTGTGACTTATATGGTGTATGCATCTGTTATACTTGATTATTTGAATTAATTAAATCAGATGACTTTATTTCACATATAAATGATACCTTCGTGACTGTTTTTATAGATTTATAATGATGTGTTATTTTCAGATGTCTGAATTTCAAATAGCGCTTACAGTTTTCCTGCTGCATATTTATAAACCTTATCAAGACATTCCTAAATCAATTGCTGGTAATGTAGCACAGTAATTTAACAAGTTGGAATTGAGTCCTACTAAATGAAAGTATTGGTGAACTGGGTGAAATTAACCATTCCTTTCTGTGTGCCTTTGATTTCACCATCATAAAATCACCATTGTGGCATTGTGCATTAAGTTGCTGCTTGCTGCACCTGCATTTTGTGTGGGAGCTTGTTCAAGTCCTAGCTGCTCTGCTTCTGATCTAACTCCCTGGTGATGTGCTTGGGAAAGTTTTGAATATGGTCCATTGCTTGGGCCTCTGTACCCACATGGAAGACACATTGCAGCCATTTGGGGAGTAAATTAGCAGATAGATCTCTGCTCTCTGTCTCTTGGTTTCGATATAACTCTGTTGTTCCAATAAATAAATCACATTTCTAAAGAGAATTTCCCATTAAAGGTTGGCAATTCAATATGTCTTGTATCAGGTTATATTAGAATTACATAAAGCAGTCTATGTAATGCTATTAGAGTAATGGCTAAGATGTAGTACTCACCAACTGATGCTTCCTTCATATTAATCAGACCTGCTATTGATATTAATATTTACCTTCAGTTTCCTCTCTACTATAAAATGGCACTTTTTAAAATTCACTTACTTGGAATTCCTGTATAAACATAGCATAGTTTGGTTGAACTCTAGCATCATATAGGTATTAAAATGTCTTAGACTAAAGTTACTCTCTGTAAACACATAGTCCTGTTTCTTAAGAAGTAGTCTTGGGCTCTGCATGGTGACTTAGCAGCTAAATTCCTCGCCTTGAATGTGCCGGGATCCCATATGGGCACCGGTTCTAATCCTGGCAGCCCTCTTCCCATCCAGCTCCCTGTTTGTGGCCTGGGAAAGCAGTTGTGGACTGCCCACAATCTTGGGATCCTGCTCTCCCATGGGAGACCCGAAAGAACTTCCTGCATCTTGGCTTCAGAATAGCGCAGTTCTGGCTGTTGCAGTCACTTGGGGAGTGAATCATTCGATGGAAGAGCTTCCTCTCTGTATCCTACTCCTCTCTATATTTGACTTTGCAATAAATAAATAAATAAATTCTGAAAAAAAAGCAGTCTTTGATGTAAGAGAAAGAGATAGAGTATTAAATGGTAGTACAGTGTCCTGTGATCTGTGATATCGAGCACAGCAGATTACTTGGAAAACCAAGGGCTTAGCCCATTCTTGGCAATAGATGATTGCCTTGCTTGCCTTTGTTTTATCCATTTGTATTTATGGTTTTTTTTTTTTTTTAATGAATTGAACTTCAGCACCTAACTAATGGTATAACTCTTAAACAAGGAAGGAATATGTTCCATAATATAGTAGTGCATTAGTGGGGAGTTGGGACTTTTATATGCACTTCCATGTTGGATACTGGTCATACAAGTCGAGGTTTAATGAGCTGTGCAACAGTGCCAGCCTCATCATGTTTTTTTAAGCTGTTATTAGAGCTGACTTTTGTCATGGTAATTCAGAAAGTTCTGAATAATTTCATAGCAGTATCAAATGCTGTTGCCTGTAATGATAGAAGCAAATTTGTATTACCAAATTAATGCACAATTTGAATCTTTGTACTATAAAATCACTTCTTAAATCAAGTTTACATGATTTTGTTACCCTAAAGATTGTATTATACTTGAAAAAGTGGTCAAGCATTTACTTTGTTTTTGTTCTTTTCAGAGAAATTATATTACCATTCTAATGGTAGTAATTAGAGTAGTAATTTCTCTTTATATGCTTTAAGTATATATTCTTAATAAAATCCAATATCTGTGGCTAGCTGTAACAGTGATTGGGATGTATTTTTGGTTTTCTTATTTCAGTTTCCAATAGGTAATATTCATTCAGAAGATTCCTTAGCATTATGGTTTTTATGCTGTTATTTTTTCCTTTGTTTAGAAATCGAAATGAATTGGCTGAGACCCTTGCACTCCTGAAAGCGCAGATTGATCCTGTACTGTTGAAAAACTCTAGCCAGCAGGACACCTCTTCCCGGGAGAGTCCTAGCCTAGAGGATGAGGAGACTAAAAAGGAGGAAGAAACACCTAAACAAGGTTTTTTTGTGTGTTTTATTTTACTTTGTTTTGTATTTTCTGCTTTGTTACCTTCTTCTACCCAACTGTATAACTCTATATTTCTCTCCCATTTGAAATACTGAGAACTTGGCTATAAAAGAAAGATAACATTTTGTTTGTTTTAAAAGAAAGAGTTGTAGACAAATGTTCATTGCAACTCCCACAACACTGCTTGGACCGCACCATTCCATGTCAGTGCCTGGGTTGGAGTATTGGCTCAACTTCCCAATTCCAGCTTCCTCTTAAAGGCTTTGGAGATGTTGTTTGGTGCTTTAAGCACTTGGATCTCTGCCACCAACCTCAGAGTATCGGAGACCCAGGCCCATGGCTGCAGCCTGGCCTTTACTCAGCTGCAGAGGACATTGGAGAAGTGCACCAGGAATGGGGAGCATTACTCTCCATCACTCTGCAATTCAGATAGAACAAATAAAGATTCTAAAGAATGAAAGAGGAGTAAAGATAGTCACATCGCTCTTAAAGTATGCTTTTTAAAGACTTGTTTATTTTTATTGGAAGGTCAGATATACAGAGAAGAGGCGAGACAGAGAGGAAGCTCTTCTGTCCGATGGTTCCCTCCCCAAGTGACCACAGTGGGTGGTGTTATCCCAATGCAAAGCCAGGAGCCAGGAGCTTCCTCCAGGTCTCATAAACAGGTGCAGGGTCCCAAGACCTTGGGTCATCCTGAACTACTTTCCCAGGCCACAAACAGGGCGCTGGATGGGAAGCAGGGCTGCCGGGATTAGAAATGGCCCCCATATGGGATCCTGGCTCATTCAAAGAAAGGATTTTAGAAGCTAGATCACCACGCTGGGCCCTCTTAAATATCTAAAATATTAATATATAAATTTTATTATAGATTTAAAATTATTACATTGAGTTACATCGATATTAATGTTTAAATATTAAATGTGTTGTTTTTGTTAATATTTGAATTCTTGAAGCAATATTTTATTAATTCAAGAATTCAAACATGTTTAGTGAACGTTTGTAAGAGAATATGCTTAAAATAAAATTGCCTGTTTTAGCACTTTTCAGTATACAGTTCTGTTGCATTCAGTTCTGTGACTGCTTTGACTCGACCTTTTCTTCCCTCTTTCCCCCTGAAGCTGTGTACCTGTTTACCACTCACTCTACCTGTTCCCTTTCTCCCATCTACTAGTTTTACCCTGCAAGTTTATGAATTTGACTGGAAAGAACCGCATGTCACATACACCTTGTAATGTTTATACTTCTGTGATTTGCTTATTTCTCCTAGCGAAAAAACTTTATCTATACTCTAGTATATGAGAGGTTTTCCTTCCATTTTAAAATGCTGAATAATAACTTACATATTTTTTATACTTACACTTTTTGTTTCTTAGTTCACCTGTCAGTGAACACCTGAGTTGTTTCTACCTTTTGGCAGGTCTGAATAATTTTGCCATGAGCCTGGTCTTCTTAAGTCCCTCCTTCCTAAGTTCCTTCTCTTCCTTCTTTTAGTTATATACCAAAAATTGATTTGTTGGATCATATTGGGATTCTGTTTAATGTTTTGAGGAATTTTGAGAATTTTTCACAGCAGCTATATGTGCATCATTTTATATTTGTGCCCAAAGACTCAACAACACTTGATTTTTTCCCATTTTTTTAATATTTTTTAATATTGGCTATAGTAATCATGTGATGTGCTATCCCATCACATTCATTAGTTTATTCATTTATCTCTATTTCTGACATTCTTTACCTAGTTAATTAGTGCACAAAGGTTCAAGGGCTACAGGAAAAAGTGGGTAAGACTTATATTTCCATATTGTTTCCTTCATATATCTGGGGTGAAGGGGGGGATAAAGGGAGAAGTCCCACCTAGTCTCCCATCCATCCCAGGTCCCGGATGTGGGGCATGCTCCGAGGGTCTTGCTCAAGTGGTTTTGATAGTTCAACAGTTATGAATTGTTGCCAGTCTCGCCACTCCAAACATGATGAGGTTGTTGAAGAATCCACTTACTGACGTAGTCCATCTTACAGTCTCTGCCCAGTTTTTCACTGCTAACATATCGCTGACTTGTACTGTCCTCTGTCTTTTCGTGGTTAGGGTTCTGAATCCGGAAGTTCGATTAGGAGATCCCCAAAGAAACTTTGTCTGAGGTGATCCTAGACCAGAGTCCTGTATGTACTAGCAAGTACAGGGCCCAGTACAGTCCATCGCCCCTATCAGCTGGTGGTTGCAATTGCTGGGTCTGTTCTATTTGCACCCCAACTTCCACTGGAACCAATGGGTGTTGCAGTCCAGCCTGATTCTGCCCAGCACACACTCAACCCTCACATAAACCAGTGGGAGCTGCAGCCCAGTCAAAGCAACCTGTAATAACCCCCACCAGGCCTGCCCCCTACCCTGGTTTGCCAGTATGTGCAGCAGACTAGTTCAGTCTGTCCCACACCCATTCAGCTCTCATACATGTAATGGGCATTGAAGCTGAGTTCATCCCAACCAGCCTGACTATCCAGTCCAGTCCCTCTCCTGGTTTTCCTGCCCTCTAGTGGGAGTGGTAACCCAAGAGGAAGGAGCCCACTATTTCCCTTCTCAGCCACTCCCACTCCTGTATTATGCACTCTTCAGGTAATTCTGCAGTTTAACTTGACAGAATTAGTCCCCAGTGCCAGCTTCTTCCAGCTGATGCTGTAGCTAAGCCCAACCAACCCTCACCCACTCTAATTGTAGTTTGCACCAGTAGAAACAGCCCAGCCTGGCTTTTCCCTGATCTAGTCCACAAGAGGTGCACAGGTGTTGTATCCCTGCCTAGTCTGGTCTGCCCACAACCCAGCCCACATTCTCCAGTGGGAGTAGGTGTCCAGCAGGGTCCCCACCCCCACATTTCCCCTGCCAGCTCTTCCCTCTCCTTGCATGGTTCTCACATGTACTGATTGGGCACTACGGTCACATCCGGTAGAGGTCACCTTACCTCCTTGGCATTCCATAATGTGCACTGATTTTTGTTGCAACCGAACCTGGCTTGACCCACACTCTGTTCTGGTGCTCGTATTTGCCAATGGGTGATGTCAACTGGTTCAGCCTGGTCTTTTCCTGACCCATACCAAATGCATGCCAGTGGGAAACTTTCCATGGTCTGTTCTGGGCTGTTTCCTATTATGCTTTTTGTGCTTACCTGCTGGGCCTGTGTCCTGCCAGAGGAGTTGCCCAAGCTCCTCCATCAGAACCTCTCCCAATGCCAAATTTCACGCGCATACCAGTGAGTCCATGAGCCAGCCCTACTCAGTTTACCTCCTGTTGTAGCAGGAACAGTGGCTTTTCCTGACTGGTCTTCAATCCGATCTGGTTCTTACTGTTGGATGTTTCAGTGCAGCCATGGCTTGTCCATACCCACACACAGCTCACACATGGCTCAGTAGGGCCTGAGACCTAGCCTAGTCTGTCCACATCTACCCTGGTCCTCTAGGACACCACAGGTGTTGGAGTCTACCCCAACTTGGTGTGTCCAGTCCCAGTCCACACTTATGCCAAGGGAGACTACAACCGTATCCGGATCAAAACGCAGTCCTCATTCCAGTCCCCGTGTTCCTTGGTGGGAATCTCAACCCTGCTAGGGTGTCCCCTTAGCTCCCCAACCAGACCTGTTCCCAGCAATAGATTGCGCGCATGCCAGTGGTTGCTCTGACTCAGCTTGGCATAGCCCGTCACCTGTCCCCGCCCCTGCCCAGATGCTGTGGCTTAGCATCCCTGGCTCACGCAGACCAGTAGGTGCAAGAGCCTAGCTCTTCATGACCTGTGCTCCATCCTGATTTCTAATTTTGATTGTGGGCTAAGGTTTGCTCAGTCCTGCCCAGTCCACCCCCTTCCATTACCAACCCACACATTAGGCAGTCATTGGAGCTATTTTGTCCAGCTTGTGTGACCCACAGGTCTGAACCATGTGTTCACCAGCGGGAGATATGACCCGCCAGGGTATTTTCCCAAGTTCCTCCACTTGACCCACTGCCAGACTCAATTCTCATACATGCCATTGGGTTTTAGGCCAGTGTCAGGCATAGTCTGGCCTTCCATTTGGCTTTGTTTGAGCTGGTGAAACGTTGCAGCCTGGCCCACCCCACATCATATTCAGAATGCACATCTGGGTGCTGCTGCCTTGACCAGTCCAGACTGGTATCAGTTCCTTTTGCCATGAGTGAAGCAAGGCTCCTAGGTCACACCTAGCTTAGTCCATCACCACCTCAAGTTTTGAGCTAACCAGTGGGGCTAGTATTTCCACAGGGTTTAGCCCACACATCCCCCATAGAATCTACGGCCGGATATGGTTCTCTTGTGTGCTAGTTAATGTTATGGCCCTGCCTAATGAGACCCGTCTCCTGATCCATCCTCATGTCAGGTAATAGGATATGATCCTGCTAGACAAGCCCTGAGCCTTAGCTTTTGCATGGACTGGTGTTCAGTGGCCAGCTTTGTTCAGTGATTACAAGTTATGCACAAAATTGATTAAGAAGTTGCTATATCAGACTTTTCCAGAAAGATCATCTGGTCTCCCTCCTCAAACCTACCAGGTCTCATTACTACCCTCCCTTACCTTCAAAGGAAAAGTTACTCTGTCGTTGGGAGTCTTTTGGAATGATTGATATCCCAGAAGTGTTTTGTGGGCTTGACATGGAGCTACCTTAGCAGCAATTCAAAGCTACAAAACCCAGAGCTGGCCCAAGGACAGGTCACTGTATGTACGCGGTGGCTGGAATCAGGGCTCTGAGCATGGAGACGATCCTGGCCTGGCACCCACCAACAGCCAACAACCATTAGTTTCTAATGACTAAGCATGTCGAGCATGTTTCAAATGTGAATCTCCTATTTGTGTGTCTTCTTTTATTAAAATGTACATCCCTTTGTTTTTATTTTGAGAGAGAGCTTTTATATGCTAGTGTGCCTCACTAGAAATCCAGGATCAAGGAGTGATCCTGATAGCTCGGTACTACCTCAAGTCTTCCATGTGAGGGGCAGG